GGTTCTGTTTCTTGGCGTTCTACACGCGCGTCTTCCGTTCTCAGCTCCAGTTGTGAGGCTGAGATCTACGCCACAGCCATGGCTGCACAGGAGTTACGCTGGCTCACCTACCTGCTGACCGACTTGGGAGAGCGGCCTCGTTCTCCTCCAGTGCTGTACGTCGACAACAAGGCTACCATTGCCTTGTGTGAGGAGCACAGACTGGAGCACAGAACGAAGCATATCGCTCTACGGTACTTCCTTGCTCGAGAGCTGCAGCAGTGTAGTCAGCTTTGTCTGCGTTACGTGGCCACTCGGGCCAACACTGCTGATGTGTTCACCAAGGCGCTTCAGCCTTGTGACCATCAGCGCTTCTGTACTGTTCTAGGCCTTGTGCCTACTGTGCCTCACTTGCTTACTTCTTGACTCTGTTTGTACTGTGATCTCTATATATATACCTGCATACTTACACTTGCTAGGTTGTGCTCACTGTACCCCTTGCTATATTATTAAACTGCATGTGAACTGGTCTTGTGACCACTTGCTTGTGCTCGGAATTTGTGTGGTTTCCTCGAGATCCACCCTGAGCTTGCTTTGCCCTTCCTGACTGGTCTTGTGACCACTACTTGCTCTGGCTATCCCCCATTTCGCCTATGGGGGTGTGTCAAAACATATGCATAATTGTATCTAGGCTATATTGGGGCTAGCCTTAGGGGGTACACAAATAGTCTCGACACTCTAGTCTTGTACCCCAATCTTCACCTAATCATCATTTTCTCGTTCCCTAGCTAGTGATTCTAACAGGGGAAACCGGCGTCAAACAGGTGGGGATTCTAAGCGACGGGGCGGGAAACATTCCGCCGGACGCGGTGATACAACAAGAACGCGGAGCTCCACACGAGCACGAGGCATCACCTGGGGCCAGCCAAGAGGAGGCCTGACTAGACAGCCATACTCACCGTGGATCCCGGCAGGGAGAACGCCACAAGCGGGGCAAAACGGGCGGATCAATGAGCCCCAGGGAAGAGGTGGAGGGACGCCCCGCGGGGCCCGAGGCGGAGATCGTGGGGGACGGGGCGGACGACGGGGCGGAGGCGCAATTGTCGGGGGAAGAGAAGCACTGGTGAGATCTGGAACGTGGCGGGAACGTCACGAACGCCCAGAACAAGAGGCGCCACCGACGAATCAGGAGGGGGGGGAATCTGACAAAAATGATGACGGGGACGATTATGTAGCTGAAGCATCGCAGGCCTCAGAGACGATCTCGCTTGAGGAGGAGGGAGACGTGACGAGGAGAGTTTGAGGAAGAATGACGAGAGAGCGAAACCCTCAAGATGGAAACCACCAGGAGGAAAACCCTCAGGAGGGAGGAGAGACAGGAGCAGCAACGGGTATGAGCCAGAGAGATTCAGGGGAACCAAAGGTGCAGTCGCCGGCCGACCTGGCAGCCAACGACGCCATCTGGCAGGTGGCAGGAACGTGGGAATTGGCACCCCTGCAGTGAGGGGACCAACCTTTTTTGGTTCGGAGAATGCCCCCCAAAATTGTGGAGAGTTACACCCTCTGTATCCTGGCACCACTCCTGCGCCTAGCAAAACACCCCGATTGCCCGGGTGCGTGGGCGATCCTGCAATTCCTCCCGAGGCTGACCCTTCGACCGCTTCCCGAACCAGTGGAAGGAAGCCGATGGACGGGGATTGAGGGTAGGCTACACCAGTTCCAGCAGGGCAGATGGGGGGAACTCTTCGAAGAGGCAAAAGTCATCCCCGACATAGACAATCCGACACGACACCAAGCGGATGAGGTTGGACTTTGCGCTAGAGCTGAGGGTTTGATGAAGAAGGGTAACATCTCGAAGGCGGTCCCAGCGTTACGGACGACCCCACTCGCCGAGGCCACACCGACAACACTCGCTGCACTGCAGGCAAAACACCCCGATGCTGCACTACCCACCTCGCCCTACGTTACTGGCTACACCCTCTCGGCGCTGAGAGTGACCCCTGACGACCTTCGCGAAATACTTAAGCGATGCCCGAATGGAGTGGGAGCAGGGCCTTCAGGCACCTGTTTCGAACACCTCAAGGACCCGGCACTAGCTTGTGAAGAGGTGCTCATACTCCTCGCTAAAACATTCAGCCACCTCCTTAGCACATTCCAGACCCAGGCCGTCCGCGAGGTGCTCCTTTCCTCGAGGCTCATTGCCCTGGAAAAGCCGGGAGGCGGCGTTAGACCTATCGCAATAGGAGAAGCAATACTTCGCATCGTGGCGAAAGCAGCCCTGAAAGAATTATCGCAGAATAATCGGGAGTTTTTCCTCCCCGTACAGTTTGGCGTGTCTGTCACTGGCGGCGCAGAGTGCATCATACACGCAGTCCGCTCGCTGCTTAAAGAGGACGAGACCCGCGTCGCTCTATAGCTAGACATTGAGAACGCCTTCAATAGCGTGGAACGACCGGCGTTCTTCCAGGCGCTCTCGCAGTCGAACCTGTCATCACTCCTGCCCCTAGTACGCACACTGTATGAGGGCCCGTCCCGGCTTCTAGTGGACCACAGGCTTGGTGTTGACCAGAAATTAAGCAGCCGGGGAGTTCGCCAGTGAGACCCACTAGGTCCGCTCCTCTTCGCCGCGGCGATTCAACCAACACTTTTGAGTACGGCAACACTCCTCCCCGAGGTGGCGATCGTCGCCTACGCTGACGACGTCACCATTGTGGGACCCAGAGATGCTGCATTTGAGGCTTTCATCAACATCACAACGGAGCGAACATCACTCGGGCTCCGCTGCAACATTGCCAAGTCCACAGGGTGGGGACAGAGCACGGAGGAGGGAAGCGAGATCCCACCACCACAGGGCCTGCCAATAAACACCACTGGGATAGGAGTTCTGGGGAGCCCGATCGGCACGCCTACCTTCTGCACCGACCAGGCACAGACACGACTCATGGAGGCGTCCGCCCCGCTACCCCTGATAGCTCAACTCCACCCCCAGCACGCCATGCTCATGCTCTCGCGGAGCATTTCACGCAGGATATTCTACATGCTGCGTACAACGCCAGCGGCGGTGCTGGAGAGAGAGGAGTGGAGGTCGTGGAGCGAATCTCTGCTAGGAGCAGCATTAGCAGCAGCGAAACTACGGGTACCGACAAGTGAGCTGGAACAGAGTCTGCTCTGGTGGCAAGGCACTCTACCTGTCAGGCTAGGGGGGCTAGGCATCATCGACCCTTCCTCGGAGGCTCCGGCAGCCTACATAGCGTCAGTCATGGCAGCCCAGCAACTACTGCGGCAGATGAACCTGCCGGAGGCATACCTACTGCGCAGGGCGATCCCGCTACTTGACCACGCTTGGAGCCCCGCGGTACCGGAGGTCAATCAGCTAGCCCCACTGGAAGCAGCACTGCCAGCACCCGCGAGGACTGCATTACAGGCTTTCAGGGAGACGCCGACAGGACAGGGTAACCTTCAGCTAGTGCTGTCCCGCCACATCAATGAGAGAAGGGCGGCGGAGCTGCTGTCAGACACAATCACAGACCGCCCGGGCACACACCGCGGGCATGCAATACGCCTCATCAGCTTGCAAGGGGTGGGGGCGGGAGATTGGCTACATGCAGTGCCTTCAAGAGCTGACCTTACATTTGCCCCTGGTCAGTTCTCCTTGGCACTGGGCTTCCACATGGGCATATCCTTGCCAGTCACTGTGAAGTGCCCCTGCGAGCGCGAGTATTCATATATCACCGACACAAGCCTACCGAACCATCTCCTCAGGTGTGGGTACGGGGGAGATGTGGTTAGAACACACAACTCACTGGTGTACGCGGCCCTCAGGATGGCAAGGGAAGCAGACTTCACGTGCTTCCATGAGACGGCAGCCTTCTCTCCACCGATCGTTAGGAAGAGAGGGGACCTAGCCGTGAGAGACAAAGAGTCAAATGAGACCTGGGTGTCCGATGTGACGGTGACCGACCCCGTGCTCCAGCAACGTGACACAAGGGCACGGAAACCGCCGGGATGGGCAGCTGAGGAAGCTTCTGCGAGGAAACACAGGCTTTATGAGGGACGACCGGACTATGTAGGCTTCTTCGGGCTGGCAGTTGAGACGTACGAGGCTCTGGCAACTGACACACAGCAGTTCCTACGCCTCCTTGCCACCTCAGCAGCCAAGAAAAAGTACCGCCAGGGGAAGCTGACGACGACTACTGCACGGCTCACCGCTCACTACCGGCAGCGCTGGTCTGTGATGCTGCAGCGGTCCCAGACGACGTCCTACCTGGACAAGTCCAACCTCTCAGATGAGGCGGCGTTCCCCCAGGCCGCCAGGGACCCTTGGGAACCTAGCCTGGGGGACCTATGGCAAGTGCTGGAAGACGATTTGGAGGTGACCATACACCTGAATCAGGTGCACTGCCCGCAGACCCTCAGAGAGGCGCCATAGCTGCCCCAGCAACGCCTCCGGCACCACGGTTGACGGAGAGGGCCCCACCAGTGACTGTACTGGAACCGATGCAGCCTGAGGAGCAGGAGCAACAGGCAGTAGAGAGGGATACTGCGCCGTCACAAACTCCATACCCGCCACAGGAGAAACCCACGGCAGGCGCATCCGGTTCCCATGAGCAGCGGCAGATGCAGAGGGAGCTGGGGGAGGGGGAACGGCTGACTGTGGAAGAGGAGGTGCAGGCTCATAGGAAGGGACGCATGCGCTGGAGCGACGCGTGGCGAGTTGCTCTGGCTCGCCTGCCCATTTCGCTCCAGTCGCATCGCATCAGAAACAACGCGCTGTAGATCAGCCATCGTTAATGGCTGATCATACGCCCAGCCGCCACCACGACCGCGCCCCCCCCCACCAGCCACCGCGACTGCCACGGGATGCAGCCCAGTTCGCCTGGGAACCACGGTGCCGAGGAGAACCATGTCGCCGCCGCGTCGTCTCTCGCTCGTCACGGGGCGCAGGAGAGTGAGGCCGATGCTGCCGGCGGCCCGGAGACGGCAGACACTGAGCCAAGGGAGCAGGAGCGAGCGGCGCGGGATCAGGAACCGCCTGGATGTCCGGGGGCGGCACCGATGTTGCCGCAGTCGGTAGGACGGGAGCCGACAGCACAACGCCCCCCCCCCACCTCCCCCGGGCCCGGGTCGTCAGTGGTGGCGGACACCGCGTGCGGCGACGAACCAACAGCAGCAACCGGTGCAGGCAGGGCGACAGAGACATGCAGCGCATCGAGGACCGGGGCGCCCGGGGGGGCATCAACAACGACAACGGGAACTGGAGACTCAACGGGAGCAACAGGAGCAACAGGGGCAACGGGAGCAGGTCCTGCCGGAGCGTGCGCGTGAGGAGCAGCCGCAGCGGGAGGACGAGGCTCTGCGGCAGGTGGAGCCGGCTCTGGTGGATTCGGGGCCTCCAGCACGGAGGGAGGCGGTTCCGGTGCAAACGGCAGTGGCGGCTTCTTTGAGGCAGTCACCGAGCCAGACACTGTCGGCGACCTACCGGAACCCGCAGACGCAACGACAACGCGCTCTGGCTCAAGCCAGCCTTCGATCACCATCGCGGAGAGGACGGGGTAGAGGCCGCGTGGGAGGAGCAGCTAGTCGTGTGGGCGGCGGACCGGAGAATGCCTTCTAGGTGGCAAGACGACAGGCTTTAAGAACGATAATCGAAGATATCGACCAGGAGGAGCACAGCGACCCCTCTTATAGGGAGGAGACGGGTGTCCTTAGTAGTACCACTGAAGAGGAAGATGGAACTCGGGAAAGGGAAGAGGCAGCGAGCAGAAGTCGAACGGAGCAGCGGAGTGCAGAGGAATCTCATCAAGCTGAGGGTGAGCCGCACGATGGCGATCGTATGGCCAGAAATCCAATTCAATCTCTAACCCCCTCCCCGAGCCGCAGCCGCACAAATCGGACCGCGAGGCGCCAGGCCGGTGTGGCGCCCGTGGTCCCACATCAGCGCTACTACTCGCCAGAGGAGCTGGTGACACACCATGACCGGTTCGCATCACTCGCGAACTGGGATATTGCCCCGCTCTGCGACAGTCGCCAACCCTCGCTAGCCCGCAGATTGCCGCCAAACTTGTGTCAGCTTTTTTCGCTATGCCTCCTGACACCACTCCTACATCTATCGCATAACCCGGGCTCTATCGCAGGCTGGCGCCTGCTCCTTTTTCTCCCGCGTCTCACTCTTCGCCAGACTTCGCCAAAACGCCCAGATTGGCCGAAAATAAAAGCGCGACTCCGTTTGTTCCAACGTGGCGAATGGGATCAGCTGTACACTGAAGCAACCGAAGAAGTCAATAGCCCAGCCCCGCCACGACACCAACCCCATGACACAGGTGTCATCAGCAGAGCAGAGGGACTGGCGAAGCGCGGGAGTCTACGCAGAGCGGTGTTGGCACTGGAGTCAACCCTGGTCTGCACGCCCAGTCCTGGGATTTTGGAGGAACTTCGACAGAAACACCCACAAGCGGGATCGGAGCTGCTGACGTGGCCCCAACACGACGATCCCCGAAGCCTCTCAATCCCATACGTTGACTTCCACAAGCTGCTGAGCAGATGCGAGAACGGGGTGGGTGCAGGGCCATCTGGCACAACGTTTGAACACCTAAGCGATGCGGCAATCACGAACGCATCGGTCTGCACCCATCTTCACGCCTTGGTTAACACCATGATGGGGGGTAAACTGCCCCAGCCTGTAGCAGACCTGCTCACGTCATCCCGCCAAATTGCTTTGGCCAAGCCAGAAGGCGGGGCCCGACCAATTGCAATAGGCGAATGCTTGACCCGCCTGGCAGCAAAGGCCGCCTTGTCAGTAATAGGAGAAGCAGCACGGGAGTTTTTCCTGCCTCTGCAATTTGGGGTGGCAATTCCAAGTGGAGCAGAGGCGATCATCCACACCGTACGGGCTTTCACCGACGCCCAACCTGACACACTGATACTGCAAACCGAACTATCAAACGCTTTCAATAGTATCTCACGAAAGGCAATAGTGGCAGCTTTACAGGACGATGCGTTACAACCATTACTGCCGCTGGTTCAACTCATATACGGCAACCCGTCGCTACTCTACTTCGAAGCCGGCTACAACAGCGCACCTTTGGCAAGCGAACGAGGCGTCCGCCAGGGAGACCCCTTAGCCCCCCTGCTTTTCGCGGCAGGAATGTTAGAATGTTGTGAACGAGAAATGAATGAACTAGCAAAGAGTTGGGTACAAGTACTAACCCTAAATGCGTTGTACCCCTTAAGGGCTACCCCAGTATAGCCTACACAAATGTAAAAGCTATAATGTTCTGACACACCCCCATAGGCAAAGTAGGGAAGAACAAGCGGTCACAAGACCATTCAAGAAAAGCAAAGCAAGCTAAGAGTGGATCACAAAGTCACCACACAGTCCGAGCACAAGCAAAGGGCCACAAGGCCAGTTCACATGCAGAGTTATATATAAGAGAACAAACAACATAGTGATCATATCCTAGAAAGTGCAAGCATGCAGGTATATATAGATCACAGTACAAGCAAAGTCACGCAGTAAGCAAGTGAGGCAAAGTAGGTACAAGGCCTAACACAGTAGTAAGACACTGATGATCACCAGGCGGAAGTGCCTTGGTGAAGACATCAGCAGTATTGGCCCGAGTGGCCACGTACGCAAGACGAAGCTGGCCACGCTGCTGCAACTCTCGAGCAAGGAAGTATCGCAGAGCGATGTGCCTCGTTCTGTGCTCCAGTCGGTGCTCCTGACACAAGGCAATCATGGCTTTGTTGTCTACGTACAGAACTAGAGGCGAACGAGGCTGCTCTCCCAAGTCGGTCAGCAGGTAGGTGAGCCAGCGTAGCTCTTGAGCAGCCATGGCCCCGGCGTAGATCTCAGCCTCACAACTGGAGCTGAGAACCGAAGACGAGCGGGTAGACCGCCAAGAAACAGAGCCGGAACCAAGGCTGAAGGTGTAACCCTGTGACGACCGCTGTGTAGCTGAGTCGTCAACCCAGGAGGCGTCTGCGTGACCAGTGAGAACAACTGGACCCCGTCCTCCAAGCACAAGCCCCATGCCCGACGTACTGCACAGGTAACGCAGTACCCTCTTCGCAGCATCCCACTGCACCTCTCGGTGCCTACCGGGAGCCACGTAGCGAGCCAGAAGGCTGAGAGGGTACGCGAGGTCAGGTCGTGTGCACGTCATCAGGTACATGAGGCAACCCACAAGCTCTGGGTACGGACCACTCGGCTCTACAGACTCGTCCGAAGGTGGAGCTGAGAGCGAGTGGCTGGTAGACAGAGGAGTGGGTTGTGGTGAGGAGAACTGGAAGCCGAAGCACTAAAGGACCTGGTGCACCATGTGTGACTGAGTTAGTGTGATGGTGCGCCGTGCTCTGTCTCGGGTGATCTGCAGGCCATGATAGCTGCGCAGTTCACCCAGGTCAGTGCAGGTGTGTCTCTTCTGCAGTTCCGACTTCACAAGGGTCAGTGCCTTAGTGTCAGCAGTGGCAAAGACGAGGTCGTCGACGTACACGAGGACCTCCAACGCCAGCGCCTCCAGCGCCAGCTGCTCCAGGCTCCGTAGGGTCTCCATCTCAAGCGCACCCAACACCACCAGTCCCGGCAGCTCCAGCACCACTGGTACTAGCACCTCCAGGACCAGTAGCCGCAGCACCTCCAGTACCGCCAGCTCCAGCAGGAATAGCAACACCTCTAGTTCCAATGTCTCCAGCGCCTCCAGCTCCGGGAGCTCCACTCCGACGGTGTGCGTGCCAAACAAGCCACTCACGCAGCTGCTGCGAAGACAGTCGCGGCGAAGCACTAGCAGGACCTCCACACGAAGCAGCACCCCGAGGCTCAGCACCCCCAGACTCCGCACCCTCCGACTCAGCACTCCCAGGCTCAACACCCTCAGAATCAGCACCCCCAGGCTCAGCACCCCCAGACTCAGCACCCTCAGACCCCGCTCCCCCCGGCTCCGCACCCCCAGACGCAGCATCTGGAGCAGCACCTGAGCCGACAGCTACCTGAACAGGCGCGGTACCAGGGAGAGGGTCTACCTGAGACACACCCGAGCAAGCAGGACCTTGGGGCGGGAGGGGGTGTACCGGAGGTGGACCGGGAGCAAGGAAGAGCCGCGGGGGCGGGGGAGGGGCAGAGCGGTAGGGGAAGAGACGGTAGAAGGGAACCGACTCGTCGAACGTGACGTCCTGAGACGGGAGGACACGGCGCGAGGTGGGGTGGTAAAACTGCCAACCAGGCGCGTCAGGGACAAAGCCAAGGAAGACGCAGGGAATGGCGCGGGCGGAGAGCTTGTCCGCGGACGTATCGCGAACAAAGGCACGAGAACCCCAGACCCGGAACACCGACGCATCGCCAACCTTCCCCGTTCAACGCAGTGTGGGCGAGGTCTCCGGCAAGGAGACACGGGGCTAGAGGTTGAGCTGATGCGCAGCGTACCAGACTGCAAACGGCCACAGAAAATGGGGAGCGGCCGCATGGATCATGGAGGTACGAGCGACCTCCATGACTAAGCCAATGCGGCGCTCAGCAATCCCATTTTGCTGAGGGGAGTCTGGAAGCGTGAACGACTGGAGAATGCCCTCCCCACGACAAAAGTCCCGCAAGAGGTCGGAGGAGAACTCACCAACTCTGTCAGAGTGCAGACGTAGGACAGGAAGGTCCGTACCGAAGCGCTCGTGGAGCTGGAGACAGACTGTGCAGATCCAAGGGATCAAGACATCAGGGACCTCACCCTTGCTACGCAAGGGGAAGACCGTGGTGTACCGCATGTAGTCGTCAACAAAGAGTAGAAAGTAGCGCTCGCGGCCCTGTCCACTGACACGGGCTGGGCCCCACATGTCCATGTGGAGAGTTTGCAAGGGAGCAGTCGTCAGGGGAAACGAGGAGGATTGAGGAGTGGCGCGCTGCCGACCCTCGACGCAAGGAAGGCAGGGCGGGGCAGGCGAGGGCGGGAGGGGAGGCACATACCTGGGTAGACCAGAGACGAGAAACTGGGAGTGCATGCCACGAAGGCGTGGCAGGGAGGGGTGACCCAGGCGGTGGTGCCACAGAAGAGTCTGGTGCGACAGGAGCAAGAGGTGGCTACCTGACCTGACGCGGACACCTGAGCAGACGCAGCGACCTGAGGAGGCTTAGTAGCCAGCGTGTACAGACTCGACCCTGGCCGACGAGTGAACGTAGCCAGGTGACGCCCCGTCCGTGTGCACGTGCAGATCGACACACGCTGACCCCCAGGAGTGGTGGTGGTGACCATCGCATCCTGAAGGGCAGCGGTACTCACCAAGTTCGTAGAGAACGAGGGGAGGTGAAGACCTGACAGTGAGCCGGACAGAACCGCCGGACACGGGAGGACAGTGGAGGAACGGGCAACGACCGGGCCCCCAGAGGGGTCAGTCAGTCTGACCGGGACAGGTGCAGGGAGAGGAGTGAGAGTGGTGCTGTCACGAAAGAAACAGCGCGAGGCGCCGGAGTCCAACGTGAAGGTGTGCAAGGCCTCAGTAGGCGCAGTACCAAGGGGAGTACCAGACGCACTAGCACCTAGAGCAGCAGCTGCTATACCTGGGTCAGGTGGCACACACCGGTAACAGTCATCCTCAGCACTAAAAGACAAAGCATACATGGCAGAGATAATAGCATCATAGTCTAGGTCAAAGATAGCAACTCCCGACCGAAGCAAATCCGTCCAGCGAGGGCGCTCGACGTCGTCACCAAACTCAGCACGCCACGAGTCGTCATGGCAGGAGAAGCAGCGGTGCTCAGTGTGAAACTTCCCGCATGTCTGGCCCGCACGGACACCTGTGCGAATGACATACGGGCAGGTCTCACTACCCCCACCCGTCCCACGCTGAACCAACCACTCACGGAGCTGCTGGGGCGACTGGGTCTCGCTCCGACGCTGTTGCTGCTGTCGCTGACCACCACCAGGGCCTCCACGCCGAGGTCCAGACCTGCCACCACCAGTCCCACCGCCTCCACTGCCGCCACTCCCTCCGCAGCTAGGGGCGACGGGGTCGATGGGGCCAACGGGGCCGAGGGGCCGAGCTAGGGACGATGGGGTCGACGGGGTCAACGGGGCCGAGGGGCGCGGCTAGGGGCGACGGGGTCGACGGGGCCAACGGGGCAGAGGGGCCGAGCTAGGGGCGACGGGGTCGACTGGGTCGTGGCTAGGGGCGACGGGGGGGGGGGGGGGGGGGGGGGGGGGGGGAGCTAGGGGTGGCGACGGGCCGGGGCCTAGGGGCAACGGGTGCGGGCCTAGGCTAGCAGGGCAGTAGGTGGTGGGCCCAAAAACAGACCGGTCCTAGGGGACCTGCTCTGAAACCATGTTAGAATGTTGTGAACGAGAAGTGAATGAAGTAGCAAAGAGTTGCGTACAAGTACTAACCCTAATTGTGTTGTACCCCTTAAGGGCTACCCGACGATAGCCTACACAAATGTAAAAGCTATAATGTTCTGACAAGGAATACACCCAAGCCTACGTGCGATTGCTGACGCTTACCCCCGCGTGCTCTGCCTAGCTTATGCCGACGATGTCACGTTCCTAGGTGCCGCCGCCGAGACAACCGAAGCCTTCGCCCACTTTATTGGACAGCTAGAGCTAGTAGGCCTCCAACATAATCCCGGAAAGTTTGCTGCATGGAGTAGAACCCGCCCAGCCAGCTCGGTACAACTACCACTAGGGTTTCCCTTTTCCGGTAACGGCGTTCGGCTCTTAGGCAGTTTCATAGGAACGACGGAAGGTGCAGCCTCTTTCATTACGGAACAACTCACGGCAATGGCAAAACCGCTCCCACTGCTAGAACGAATGGACCCACAGACCTCCTCGCTGCTCCTCACGTGCTGCATATCTCGCCGTATAGCTTACCTTACGCGGACCACACCGCTCAACTCTCTCACCGACGGGAGCTGGTCGCAGTGGGGACGGGACCTACTTGCCACCCTTTTAGCCTCATGCGGTATCCGCTCTCCAACAAGTACTACTGAGCAAAACCGGGTCTGGGAACAGTCCACACTACCCCCCTCCCTAGGCGGGATCGGCCTCACTGACCCCACGGTCGAAGGAATATATGGCTTCCTAGCAAGCTTCACACAGGCAGCCCTACTCCTCTGCTCGCTCCCCTTAGAACCGGACGACATCCAGACAAACGCCAAGAACTTCATGTTACTCCCACGAGACACTAGCACACCCCTTCACGCATGGCTGTCGGCCTATGAGAGGGCTCTGCCGGCAGACGCCCGTGAGATCCTAGAAGCAGAGAGACTAGAACATAAGGGCGTGAAGCTGCAACACGCCATCGCAGTGAAGGTCCACGGGAGGAGATATGCGATACAAGTACAGGAGACCCGGCGGATGAGTCTTAACCCGCTATCAGGGCACACTCAGCGCATGTTCTCCCTTACCGGCTATGGCGCGGGAGACTGGCTGATGGCTTTACCGATTGAAAACACCCGCCGCGTCGCGCCAGAGCACTTCGCCAATGCTGTCCACTTTTGCCTTGGCCTACCTTTCTCCATGCCCGCCAAGTGTGACTGCTCGGACCACACAGAGATCACCGACCCACGGCTGCCAAACCATCTTTTCCGCTGCGGCACGGGCAAGCACAGGATTAACACCCATAACGAGCTCCGGGACGCCTGCATCACTATGGCACAAGACGCGGGTTTCATCGTCCATGGGGAATCTGCCGCTTACTGCCCAATCGAGGACCAGACTGCGGATATCACAATGCGAGACAGGAGCTCAGGGGCGGTGTACATCCGTGATGTCACCATCACCGACCCCATCAGCACCAGGGACCCGAATGCAACCAAGGGAAGAGGATGGGCGGCAAGGGAGATGGCGGACAAGAAAAAGAGACACTATACCAACCGGCCAGACACGGTTGGCTTCTTCCTGCTGGCAGTGGATACCTATGGGTGCCCATGTGCACAGGTCCCACAATTCTTGAAGCTACTGGCGGACACAGCTGCTAGGCGTCACTTCAACGCCCAACCTCACTCTTTTCATGCAGCTAGGTTCCTCCATCTCTTCAGGCAGCGGTGGTCCGTGGCTCTGCAAAGAGCACAGTCAGTGGGCTACCTTATTAAGTCGAGTCAGGCAGCAGTAGCTGAAAATCCCCCCGTGGGGGGGGTGCAGTCCGAGCTCCACCTTGGGGACGGTTGTGCAGTACTAGAGCCTCTCATGGAGGTGTAGATAGGCAGCTGTGGGCAGCTAGATAGTTCTTTGCTTGTTTGTTTGCATTCCCAGCATCTATACCTAGCATGTTTGTACCCTTTCGTTATATCAATGCACGGACCATTAGAGAGAGAGAGAGAGAGAGAGAGAGAGAGAGAGAGAGAGAGAGAGAGAGAGAGAGAGAGAGAGAGAGAGAGAGGCCTAGTCCTTAGCCTCTCCAGCCCTCTCCAGCCTAGTATAAAGGCCCTAGGACCTTGTCCTAGAGCCTCATTATTCAGTTCTGGGTTCATTTTGCTCCCCTAACCGAGCGGCTCAGAGAGAGAGCGAGAGAGAGAGAGAGAGAGAGAGAGAGAGAGAGAGAGAGAGAGAGAGAGAGAGAGAGAGAGAGGCCTAGTCCTTAGCCTCTCCAGCCCTCTCCAGCCTAGTATAAAGGCCCTAGGACCTTGTCCTAGAGCCTCATTATTCAGTTCTGGGTTCATTTTGCTCCCCTAACCGAGCGGCTCAGAGAGAGAGCGAGAGAGAGAGAGAGAGAGAGAGAGAGAGAGAGAGAGAGAGAGAGAGAGAGAGAGAGAGAGAGAGAGAGAGAGGCCTAGTCCTTAGCCTCTCCAGCCCTCTCCAGCCTAGTATAAAGGCCCTAGGACCTTGTCCTAGAGCCTCATTATTCAGTTCTGGGTTCATTTTGCTCCCCTAACCGAGCGGCTCAGAGAGAGAGCGAGAGAGAGAGAGAGAGAGAGAGAGAGAGAGAGAGAGAGAGAGAGAGAGAGAGAGAGAGAGAGAGAGGCCTAGTCCTTAGCCTCTCCAGCCCTCTCCAGCCTAGTATAAAGGCCCTAGGACCTTGTCCTAGAGCCTCATTATTCAGTTCTGGGTTCATTTTGCTCCCCTAACCGAGCGGCTCGCGCCGGCCGCCTTCAGCGGCCGACGCTCGACAGCGCAGCCTTTGGCCGCGCGTGAGGGGACGGCAAGTCATTCGACACACAGTTGCTTATATTCGAAAGCATTTCACGCATGGCATGTCCTACGGCAACCTAGCTGAAGGAAAATAGGCATGGGGCAAACGGAGCCCGCGTCTACATGCGGTGAGCTCCAAGGGCGTGAAGAACGCCCGTCAGGGAGCGCCACAGCTCCCGGACCACAAGCGTGCTTGCGCCGATCGCCGCGGCTCCAGATCCTGCGCGCAAGTGCCGCCTCAAGCCCCGGACGGCTTCGTCAAGCTGTCCCGCAGTAGCAGCACCACCCTCCACGGGCACAGCCAGCACGGGCGCCAGCAGCACCGCGAGCTGGTCCGCCGCGTCCAGGCATGAGTCACGCTGGCGACCACGGAAGGTCTCAGGAGGGATCACAGGGAGAGACGAGTGGGCCAGCACCTGAATCAGCAGCAGAGCGTGGAGACTATCAGCGAGGCGGTGTAGCTGTCCGAGAGTCGCCTCGGGAACACGGGTCTGCGGAGGCTGGAGTGCCTCCGCCAGGAACTAGAGCGGCTCATCAGCATCCGCAAGGGGAGCGAACGGAGCCGCCAACGAGCCGCCACCCGCGGCCACAAACTCCACTCCCGCAACAGGCGGAACCGGCGGCAGATAGAGACGAGAGCCGGGAGCAGGCGCCGATACAGCGGGAGATGGAGCTGGCAGCGCTTGGATCTGGGGAGGAGGCGCAGCAACAGGCTGCGGGTTTGGGGGGAGCGCAGCCGGACGGGGAGCCTCGCGGGCTGGCAAGGCGCGCAGCGAACTGCTCTGGCTCTGCGCCGCCCTCTCCTCCGGAACCGCCCTCGACACTTCCCGCTGAAGATCCGCCATCGTCACGGGCGGGCGATACCCCCCACCCCCGCCACGAGCACGGGGACCCCTCCAATCCCCTTGACCTCCGGGGTGAGCAGGCCAGCGCGACTGTTGCTGGTACCGCCGTGGAGACTCACGCCGGCGACGAGATGATTTGCGGTCCTGGTGGGGAGCGGGGGAATGGGGCCGCGACGAGCGACGGTCAGGCGACGGAGGGCGTGACGGCTGGCCTGCAGGAACCACCGCCGTCACAGCGGGAGCGGACTGACCCACCGCTGCAGGCACAACCGACGGAGCCGGTTCGCCGGTGGTGGCGGACGCCGCCTTCGGTGATGAAGCAGAGGCCGGCGCAGGCAGGCAGGGGGCAGAAGCGTTCGGCGCAACACGGGCGCCAGGGACAGGTGCAGGGGGTTCAGCAACACCCCCAGCAGGGGCAGACGCCGACGGCTCGACAAGGGGAGCCAGGGAGCCTGGTGACGCAGGCGGAGCAGACGGAACAGCAGCGGGAGCGGTCGGGCCAGCCTCTGCCTTGGCAAGGGGAGCCGCGGGTGCGTGGGGAGGAGTCTTTCCAGAGACTGCTGTCCCGTGCTTCGGAGCCGGCGGTAGAAGGGGCTCCGTCGCCATGGTCGCCCTTTCGGGCTCCGTCGGAGGCCTGGCGACCACAGCCGACCAGGCGGCAGCGAGCCCTGGCGACAGCTCAGGGGCTCTGGCAATCACCATCTCGAGAGCAGGGAAGCCGTGGGGCGAGGAGAGAAACCGTAAGCGGAACGGGCGGAGGACCAGAGAATGGGTATCAGGTGGCGGCGAGAAGGGCTTTAAACACCGTGGAGGAAACTAATGACGAAGACGAGCGGGACGACCCTTCTTATAGGGACGAAGCCGTTCCCGATAGCGAGAACGATGAGACGGAGGGGGAAAGCATGGCGAGAGAAGGACCAAGGAGAAGGGAAGAGGTAGTGCAGCAGACGGACTTGCAAGTGCCACAGATGGCTCAACCATCGTCCGATGTCGATCGGACGGGTGCAAATCCAACCGCAAGCCCCCCAATGAGATTGAGCCGCGCCGGGAGAAATGGAACCACCAATGCCTGTACCACGGCACGCCCATCAGCATCATTCCCCCGCTACTTTTCACCAGACGAGCTCGCGAAGCGGACAGACCTGTTCGCAGGCATTGCGAATTGGGATATTGCGGCACTATGCGACAATCGCCAGCCTCCACTGTCGCGGCGTTTACCGCCAAACTTGTGTCAGCTGTTCTCGCAGGCGTTACTGACGCCGTTACTGCACCTCTCACGAAACCCCGAGTCAGAGACAGGTTGGCGCCTGCTGTTGTTTCTCCCGCGCCTAACACTTCGCCAAACCTCGCCACGACGACCGAATTGGCCAGGAATCAAGACCCGACTCCGAGCCTTCCAACGTGGCGAATGGGAGCAGCTGTATCAGGACGCGGCGGACGCAGTCAACGCGCCTCCACCGCCTCGACATCAGCCCGACGCAGCTGGTGTGCTCAGCCGAGCCGAAGGCCTGGCGAAACGTGGCAGCCTGCGTCGGGCCGTGCTGGCCCTGGAGTCAACACCCGTCTGTACCCCGAGCCCCGAAATCCTGGAGGAGCTGCGCTCGAAGCACCCGCCTGCTGAACCCGGGGAGGTGACATGGCCCACGCCACAGGGGTCAACGCTTTCTATCCCGCACGCTGACTTTGCCAAGATGCTGGGTAGATGCGAAAATGGAGTTGGAGTCGGGCCGTCGGGCATGACATTTGAGCACCTGCGCGACGCGGCACTCACAAATGCACTGGTCAGCACCCACCTGCACGCCTTAGTAAACACCATCCTGGGAGGAAACTTGCCAGCTTCGGTGGCAAACCTCCTCACCGCGTCTCGACTCATCGCCTTGGCCAAACCTGGGGGAGGGACTCGGCCAATAGCGATAGGCGAATGCTTGACGAGGCTGGCTGCCAAGGCGGCCCTGTCAGCAATGGGAGAAGCTGCCCGCGACTTCTTCTTGCCTCTACAGTACGGCGTGGCAGTGCCAGGTGGAGCCGAAACAGTAATCCACGCGGCCAGAGCCTACCTGGACGTTCACCCCACCAGCATGGTACTGCAAGCGGACATTGCAAACGCCTTCAACAGCGTTTCGCGACATGCCATCGCCACAGCGTTACAAGTCCCCGCCCTCTCGCCACTACTGCCGTTCGTGAAACTAACCTACGGTAACCCATCGCAGCTGCTTTTAGACGTCAAGTTCAACTCCGAACCCCTGCGAAGTGAACGCGGAGTTCGCCAGGGAGATCCATTGGGTCCGTTACTGTTCGCGGCTGGGATTCACGCCACACTCCGCGACACCGCCACCACACACCCAGACGTGCTTTGTCTGGCCTACGCAGATGATGTCACGCTCCTTGGGAACATGGCTGACACTGTAGCAGCATTCAACCACTTCACTTCCAACTTGACACAATTGGGGCTGGCACACAACCCATGTAAATCTGCAGCCTGGAGCAGAACAGCAGCAGAGATTGATCAACTCCCGCCGGGAGTTCCTTTTTCCCAGGACGGCGTGCAGCTGCTGGGGAGTTTTGTAGGCCCCGACCGTGGGGCAGCGCAGTTCCTGTCGGGACAGCTGCGGGAGATGGCAAAACCATTACCACTCCTGGAGAAAGCCGATCCCCAGGTCGCGTCACTGCTGCTCACCCACTGTATCTCGAGGCGGGTGGCATATCTCACCAGGACGACGCCGCTACGATTACTTCCGCGCGATACCAGGAGCCAGTGGGGGATGGATTTGCTTACGACGCTACTGACCGCCTGCGGCATCCGCGTTCCAACCCACCGCGCTGAGCAATCTCGCGTTTGGGCGCAAGCCTCCCTGCCGCCGTCGCTAGGGGGAATCGGCATTACAGACCCCTTAATCGAAGGGGTGTACGGCTACACCGCGAGCTTCACTCAGGCCGCCCTTTTTCTGGCATCACTGGAGTGTGCCCCTCGCGGCGCGCTGACGCGGGCCCGGGATCACATGCTGCTGCCTGCAGACGCCACCACTCCCCTTCACGAGTGGCTCACTGAGTGCGAAGCCGCGTTACCTCTGGATGCACGAGAAATCCTGGAGAAGGAGCGGCTGAAGCGGTCGGATGTGAGACTACAACATGCACTAGCCTTACAGGTGCACGGGAGCAGATACGCCGTGCAGGTTCAGGAGACACGGCATATGGAGCTGAACCCCCTGAGCGGACACACGCAGCGGATGTTTTCGCTGACCGGTTACGGGACCGGGGACTGGTTGACAGCCATCCCCATTGCGGCAAACAGGAGAATAGGGCCCGTTCACTTCTCCAATGCCGTGCACTTCCGGCTGGGCCTTCCTTTCTCCATGCCTAAAAACTGCGACTGTTCTGACCATACCGCTCTCCCAGACCCCCGCCTCCCTAACCACCTTCTCCGTTGCGGCACGGGCAAGCACCGCATCAACACCCACAACGAGCTGCGGGATGCTTGCATTAGCATGGCCCAAGACGCAGGGTTCATCGTCCATAGCGAGACCTCCGCATACTGCCCCATTGAGGAACAGACCGCGGACTTTACGATGACAGACAGAAGCAGCGGCGCTGTCTACGTGTGCGACGTCACCATCACAGACCCCATTAGCACTAGGGACCCGGAGGCACAGAAGGGCAGGGGCTGGGCGGCACGGGAGCAGGCTGACAAGAAGATCAAGCACTATGCTGCCCGGCCAGAGGCAGTGAACTTCTTTCCTCTAGCGGTGGATACCTACGGCTGCCCCTGTGCTGAGGTGCCAGTTTTCCTGAGGCTATTGGCGGACACTGCAGCTCGGCGCCACTTCAACGCCGACTCCAAGTCATTCTACGCTGCTAAGTTCCTGCATCAGTTCAGGCAACGCTGGTCTGTGGCCCTACAAAGGGCCCAGTCCATAGGTCTCCTGCTCAAACTAGGGGAAGCAGCGGCAGTGGAGAACACGCCTGTGGGGGGGATCGGGGATGAGTTACACCTAGGGGACTGCTTTGCAGTCATTGAGCCCTTTGTGGAATTGTAGGGAGGTCTGGTGACTCCTGGTGCCTTGCTCAGTTGTTACCTATGACTTGCATGCTTGTACTCTGCTACTATATCAATACAAGGACCATTAGAGAGAGAGAGAGAGAGAGATAGAGAGAGAGAGAGAGAGAGAGAGAGAGAGAGAGAGAGAGAGAGAGAGAGAGAGAGAGAGAGGCTTAGGATCTAGTCCTTAGCCTCTCCAGCCCTCCCTAGCTTAGTATAAAGGCCCTAGGACCTAGGTGTGGGCCTCATTCTTCATTTTGTTCTCTGATTTCCTTCTCTTAACCTAGCGGCTCACGCCGGCCGCCTTCGGCGGCCGACGATCGACAGCGCAGCCTTCGGCCGCGCGTAAGGGGTGACAAGATCAAGGAGGAAACAAGAACAATATGGAGCAATACAACAAGCACAAGTAACCCAGCGGCAAAAACTACAACACCCCCAGGCGTGACCACACCGCCATGGGGAAGCCCAGGGCCAAACCACGCCAGAAAGTGGTGGCCAAAGGACAGCCAAAGGCTACTCGGCAAGTATCCACACAAGCCGCCCGTCCATCCACCGCAGCACTGAAGCGACTGCCGGCACAAGGTCGAGCGGTGCCCGCGCAACGGAAGACACCAAGCGACGCAGCGCGGCAGGCCCGGGTCCAGAGGCCACACCGGGGGCCCCTAACTCCAGGCCCATGTGCGGGAGCGACCGCAGGATCTCCGTCATGGCTACCACCGCAGACTCCGTCTCTTGTTGCGATAGCCTCGGACATTTCAACCCTTGGCGGGTCATGCATGAATGCAGCTGGGCGAGAACTTCCGCGATGTGATCCAGACACGTCGCCACGGTCATTACGCGCAGCTCAACGCGGAGCAAATGCTCTGCAGGCGTACACTCACCCCAGCGACTCCAATGCGCGTCTGGGTGCGGGGGAGGAACGAGTGCAGGCACGGCAGGAACCTCAGCCCCACGGTTCGCAGGAACTGGAGCAGGGGACGGAAGAGGCAATGGATCAGTTGACCCAAAGACGGCTGGAGGAACATCTGGGGGAGGCCAAGGGAGGTACGATGGTGGCTGCGGCTGTTACTGCGGGGGTCCACCCTGAGGGAGAGGCAACGATGGAGGGAGAGGTGGCTGCTGCGCGGCCGACAGCGGCCCAGGAGGCGTGGGAGGCGTCCCAAGAACCATCGGTGGATTGGGAGCCTGCACAGTTGGACGTGCCTGCTGGAGCTGTCGCTGCTATCAACGGCTCAGCCTCTCTTGCTGCCTCTGACACCGACGTGTCAAACATATGTGTTTATATATCTCTAGGCTGTAGTGGGTTTAGCCTTAGGGGGTACAGAATTTCTCTCGACATTCTACTTGTAACCCCCCCTTTCACCTAATCAATCATTCTCGTCACTTATTCTCACATGGAATCAGAGAAGGTTACTATTGGGCCCACCACCTGCTACTTCGTTCCTAGCCCCGCACCCGGCCCGTACCTCGCCCGCGATAGGCCCGTACCTAGCCCGCGCCCGGCCCAGTCTCCTGCCCGCGCATGGCCCGTACCTAGCCTGCGATAGGCCCGTACCTAGCCCGCGCTCGG